AGAGGGTGGGATGGAAGCTGAGTCTTAAAGAAAGGTAAGGAAGATAGGAAGTAAAGGTGAGGGCATAGAGCTTTCCAGACATGTTGGACAGCAAGGACTGAGATGGATTGTGATGTCTGGGAAATTGCAAGAGAGCCAGTGAAAAGGGGAATAAAGTGTAAGAAGACTGGGAGACCAAGTTATGTAGAGCTTCAAATTTGGCCCCAGGGGTAGTAGGGAGCCACTGAAGGTCCCTGAGCAGAGAGTGACATGATCAGACCTAAGCTTCAGAAACTCACCTTGGCAGCTAAATAGAGGGGTGGATTAGAATGGGGGGAAACTGAAGGTAGGAAGAGCAACTGGAAGGTTTGGGGAGTGTGTTTGAATGAGAGTAATGGTTGTGTGACTGAAGAGAAAGGGTTAGAGTTGGGAGAGAAAGCAGCAGTTTGCTGCTCAGTAAGGCTCTCCCCAGGAACCCCCTCCATCAGAGGAATCATGGGTCCAGTCCCCATCCCTTTCCTCACCAGAGCCTTGTGAGGTCGGTAGTGCTAGAATTATTACCCCCGTTTTACAGATGAGGAAACCATGGCTGTCATGCCTCTAATTATACAGCTACTAAATACCAGAGTCAGGATTTGACCTCAGTCTCCTAACTCCATATTCCAGGGCACTCTTCTTTGTACCACATTGTCCTCTAGATTTGTGGGTGAAAACCATTCTGGTGGTTGTAGGGTTTTATGCCCCGTAAGGCAGCCAGGTGAGAAGAGCAGGGGGGCCCCTCCATAATCCCATTCCTTCCCTTCATCCCACTCCTGGGCTGCCCAGGTCCCCTCTAGAGCTGCTGGGTGGGAAGAACAACAAGGCTGTTCACATTGTTTAGATGATCTTAGAATCACCATCTACCATCCTTCTGACCTCCTTTGGCTTGCTTTAAGTCCCAACTAAAATCCCAGTCTTCTACGGGGAGCCGTCCTTGACCCCTCAATCCTAGTGCCTTCCCTCTTTTAATTACTCCCTGTTTATCCTGTATGTAGCTTGCTTTGCATATATTTGTGTGCATGTTGTCTACCCCTTTAGATTGTAAGCTCCTTGAGAGCAGGGACTGTCTTTTGCCTCTTTTTGTTTTATCCCCAGCGCTTAGCACAGTGCCGGGCACATAGAAGGCACCTCATAAATGTTTATTCGATTGGTGAGATGGAGGGCCACCAGGCCTTTCCTTCCTGCATTTCTGCCACGGCATCTTAAGGTACTTCAGGCCTTACCATCTACCCTGCTGCTCTGCCTTCCAGACAGACCCCTCAGGCACTGGCATCTGATCCAGCAATGTATTGTGTGTGTGTGTCCTTGGGCCTTGCTGTCTACACCTCCTCTATGCCCTTCAGATTTCTGGGCTCTTCCATTCATGATGCAAGTCAACCCTCTTGTATGTGCTGTCTCTCCAATTAGAACTCCTTGGAAGCAAAGGATGTCTCACTTTTTCAATTTCTAACCCCAACATTTGGCATAGAACTTAATGTAGAGCAGCTGCTTAATGAATGGTTTTTTTAGTCATTCATTTTTAATTGGGGCGAGTGGGTGGGTGCAGTGGAGAGAGTACTGGTCCTGGAGTCAGGAAGACCTGAGTTCAGATAATGGCCTCAGATACTCACTAAGACTCTGGGCAAGTCACATAACTTTGCCTCAGTTTCTTCATCTCTAAACTAGGGATCATAATAGCAGCCAACCTAGGAGGGTTGTTGTAAGGCTCAAATGAGATAATAATCGTAAAGTACTTAGCACAGTGTCTGGCACATGGTAGGTGCTATATAAAGATTAGCTATTATTATTATTTATAAATTGGTTTGAAGGAATACATTGAAAAGGCAAAATCTAAGATAAAGCCTTTGACTGTTTCCTGGATGAGTGTCATACTGTAAGATTAAAACCAAAGCATGCAGCTGCAAACTGTTAGGTATCCATTTAAGTATATAAGAAGGAGATCTGAGTTAAGGGAGCATGTGTGAAGTAATGCCAGGAACTGAAGCTGGATTGGGTGTCTGTGCTAAGTTCGACATCAATATGGTGAACCCTTGGAAGTGGAAGTGGGGGTTGGGGAGACTGGGTTGCCTAAGTCTGGCCCATGCTGGGAATGGATTTTCTGCCACCTAAAGAGAATGGTGGCCATGAGTAGCCCCAGCACCCTCAGCCTGGGTGAGATAAAGAGATCTAACCTTTTTAAAAAAAAAAATTACAAATTAAAATAAAGAATATGTACAGAAAGAGAAAAAAAAGAAATTCCCTGGTGTCCCAAAAATAAATAGGTGGCTTAGGTGAGGAGTATTGCATCACTTTTACTGCCAGCCTATCTATTCATTATTCCAGGGTATTTTTCCTTAAACTATTTGTAAACCACTGAATGTGAACACATTCAGAACTCCTGTGATTGATAATTCTAAACTTTTCAGGATAGGTGTGTACATATACACATAAAACCTTTTGAGTGCATTGACCTCTTGACTGGAGATAACTGGGTACTAACCTTTTCTTTGGCCGAATTGAGTATATTCATGGATAAAACTATTTCAGGTTCTTAATGATGCTCATATTGTCAGGTAGACATGTTCGCGTAGGATCATGATAGAGAAGGCAAAGCATGGTGCCTTGACCATGGAGGAATAAAGATAGCAAGAGAGATTAGACCTGTCATTTTATTGATACAGGGAACTCCTAGGAGAGCAAAGTCCCTCCCCCAATGTAGGTCAACCCCTTCTCTATGTCACCTGGCAGAGCCCAGAGTCCCTAGGGCAGAGTTCAGGAGCCAATGGGAAGGGAATGAAGAGGCTGATCATAGTGCAGACAATGACTGGGGAATGAATAGAAGAGATAATTTCAAGGAGGAATCTATCCAGTATGCTGTAATGCTTCTGCCCGTAGTAGTTATTCAATAAATGTATGTTGCATTGTTGAAAACTATGTGGGTCAGTGTTGGGTCCTGAGGAAAGACCATGGAAAATGGAGGGGTGTATGTATATTGGGGGAGGTAGGGCGAAGGAAGCAGATAAGGGAGTAAGCCAAACCATTTCCTTGAAGGGCTTACATTTTTATTTGGTTTATTTTATTTTTTTTCCATTTGTATTTGTAATTCTAGGATCTTTTTAGGCAAATCTACAATTTTGTGGGAGTGACACTACAGTTTCCATTTTTAAAGGATTTTGCAACAGCTAAAGTGAACTCGGAGGCAGCAGAGATGGATTTTAGAGGACCCATGCTAGACTTGATGTCTGCCGTCTAAGGACAAGATAGGCTAAATTAGCAGAGATTGATCTCCAAGTTGGCTGGGGAAATGATGACTTTTTTTTTTGGCCACAGAGTCTCAAATGCTGTCCACCAAGTGGTCAAGGAGCTGTGATCTGTGTCTGTGGAGAGTGTACCAAATTCCTAGATGCTTGTATTAAAAGAATCAAACATAAATAGCTCCTGGTATCTCTGGGGAACAGTTGAGCGAATGAGTGTGATGGGGAAGGTGTTTTAAGAATGAGGAGGAAAGTTGTATTTTCCTAATGAATATCCTGCTTTCCATGTTGTACTTTTCATTTTTTAAAAAATTTTTGGACCTGAATCTCAATTATAAATTTCTAGTTCATCACCAACATTAGTTGTCTTAGGTGAGAGCTGCTCAGACATTTCCTGCCTGTGTGACCCTGGGCAAGTCATTTAACCTCTTCTGCCTCATTTTCCTCATCTGTAGTATATGGATAATAATAGCACCTACCTTACAGACTTGTTGTGAGGATAATATTTGTAAAGTGTTTTGCAAATCTTAAGTGCTATATAAATCCTAACTATACTAGTAATTTTTGTTGTTATGTTTTCTTATCGAATGGAAATCTTTTTATTAGGTGCTTATTATATTCTAGTGCTAGGATACAAATAGAAAATTGAGAGTCCATGCTTTCGAGAAGTTCACACTCTAATGGGGGAGACAACATATTAAAGAGGGCTTTGTTCCTGGAGGATGAGAAGGCCATATGGTACTTGAGTTTTTACAAGGAAGGTAGCAGGGCAGATACTAAGGTCATAAGGGCCTTGGAAAGTAATGGTGAGTCAGATGGTCCCTGACAAAGAGGGTAATGAGTTCAAAGGTTAGACTGGAGGGGGCTCTGAGAGACCTCCAGGAGAGGTGGGGCTGGGGCTGGGGCTGGGGGAGAGTCATCCACCAGCTGAGAGTGACTATCTAGTACTATATGCGGTTGGTTGAAAGGATATTTCTTCTCATTTGAAAAAAGAGAAATCTTCACCCCTGGTTTAGCCTCCTTTGTCTTGTAGAGAAGGCATGTATAGCAGGATGAAACAGTGGAAGGAAAGTTGTGAAAATTCATCAAAAATGCACTTAAAATCATCCTTTTGCCTTGAGTTTATGACGCAATGCTTTTGAACTCTTCCAAAATTGTGAAGTATGAAATGAGAGCTGCCTGCTTGAGTCCAGCGCCACCTTAAACCAGTAATACCCCTCCCTTTCCTTTCTTCTCCCCACCCTCCTAATCACACACACTGACACTTAGGGCTCTTGATGTGCAAAATGAAGGAAGCAATGTTTGCTACTTGTGTAACTCACCCGGGTAATGAGATAATATGTGCACGGTCTTGTAAGAAGGTTTTCTTCAGTAGAAAGATACTACATTAATAATATGGTGCTGTAATTCTGTGGGTTAGCCTTCCTTAAGAAATCAGTGTTCTGGATTTGCCGTGGTTACAGACTTTTATCTTATTTAAAGCACAGGTTATATTTGAGTGATCAGTCTGTTAATAAAGTGTTCTTTTTAAATGACAGCACTATTACTTAGCATAGTTTTTTCTATAGACAGACTATTCTTACAATATCATGGCAAATAATGGGACAGTGTGGAAAGCTCCAGCTGTTTCTCCTTTGACAAAGGAAAAACATAAAAATGGCTATTATCCTGCCAGACTGCAGCAGAGATGTAGTTTTTCCCCCCAAGAGGAAAACAGATGAACAAAAGGGTTAATCTGTTTGTGCTTACCCCAGAGTTCAAGTTTCTTTATCGATTCTCAAAAGTGCATTATCATCCTGAATCTCAGCTTGCCCTGCAGAACCAAGAAGACAATTACGGAGAGCCCAAACTCTGCCATGCAATACCCTTTGTTGTATAGGCTTAGCCACCCTGACTGGAGGTGCAGGGATGCAGCTTTGCCTTCCCCATCCCTTCGCTGCAGTGCAGCTCAGATCCTTTCCATCTCTCTGTAGGTTATCAGTCTATCACTGAGGCTGCTGCTGAGATCAAAGTCAAGTGCAGCTGGTGCTGCTGAGTAATCTGCACAGGGGCTCCTTCCCCCACCCCCAACCCTTTTGTATCTTGCTTTTCTTTCTTTCTTTCTTTCTTTCTTTCTTTCTTTCTTTCTTTCTTTCTTTCTTTCTTTCTTTCTTTCTTTCTTTCTTTCTTTCTTTCTTTCTTTCTTCTTTCTTTCTTCTCTCCTCTCTCTCTCTCTCTCTCTCTCTTCCTTTCTTTCTTCCTTTCTTACTCTGTAGCACTTAATGGAATCTCCCTTTCAAAATGCTTTCATTTTCTTCCCTCCATCTTTCTTTCACATTACAGCAGCTGGTGTCTTACCATACATAGTAGGGCTCCTTTTGGATAATGCAGCTATCAGTCATTTAGACAGTAACCAAGTCAGATGCCCTGGGAGCTTATTTTTAGCTTGAGTAGAAAGGTTTGCTGAAGCCAATCTAATTTTAGAATTTGTCTCATCTGCTCCTAATTTTATCAACCTTTCCTCTAAATCCAAATTTCGAAGTAGTGCCCTACCAGTCTCAACTCTCATTTCCCATGTGCCTGGAGAATCAGTGACATGCATTTTACTTAACACTGACTGACGGAGAAAATCAGTGACATGCATTTTTAACACCTTCTGACAGGCAACATGTTAAACCAAAGGCCCTCACCAGGATCCTTTGAGGGTCTGTGGCTGCCATGGTGACAGATTCTTTCTGCCTTCCTGTTGGCCCCTGGAGGATAGCGAGCTTTCTCTTCACCCCAGTGTATGTAAATAGAACTGATGAAAAATTAACCCAAGCACTTAGTGGACCCGTGTAAGGGATGCTTTGCAGATACAACTATCCAAATCTGAGAACCTGGATAAATGTTTTCCCTGTTTTTAGTGCTCATGGGGATGTAGGCTATGGAGACCCAGCTCCATAGTTCCACCTTGGTATTGATCTCTCCGACAAAAAGCATGATGAGAGACTTGCAAAGGTAGGGTAAAGAAGAACAGCAGGGTGGGCAATTCTTTAACTGCTCCTGATGAGAGCCAACCTCAGGCAGCAGTGTTTTTGCCTTATCTCTTCCTTGTAAGGGGGTAGGGATATCACCTTCTATAGTAAGTCAAAAAAGCAAAATAATCCAAAATGCTGTTAAAGTCTGTTTTTAAAGCTTGAAAGCTTAGAATACATTCTTGATAAATTCTTAATGAGGTAACTTGGAATAAGTTCAGAAATACCTTTCCTTATAGCTCCCAGAGATGACCTTGTTCTCTGCATCCCTTCAATCTGATTTCAGTAACTGACCATAAATTTTAGAAAACTAATTTCATATTTTTATTCACTAACAAATCTTCTTCATTCCTACATTTTTGGTTACCATTGAATGTCAGTTCTATGTACCACACTGTTTCCTGTGTGAAAGGCCCCAAATGAACACATCTGTGATTCTTTAGGGTTTTTCCTATATGAAAAGTCCTGAATGAACATACCTGTGATTCTTTAAAAAGAAAGAGAAAATGAAAAGAAAATGTCTTATGTCCTGATTGTATGTTCTCCTGACTTAGAAAGCTGTATTATTGCTAACCCAGTCTAGGCAGGTTTACGGTGCTATACAAAGTTGTGAAGATCATCCCTGGTGTGACTTCATTTATTTGCTACATTGCTAGTGCCTTATTAAAAAAAAACCAACACAAAACCTACCTAGTTTCATCCTGTTGTAGGAGAGTAGTAGACAATAAGAGCAGATACCTGCTAGTAAACTTCTTACTCAATTTCTTTATTTATATAACTCCTAAAAAAGTCTCCTTCAAAAGTCTCTTCCATAGACATTATGTGGACTATGATATAGAGACTTTTATCATCTCTTTAAGGAGAGACATTAAGAGTTAAGAGTTCTGACTGTTGTTCTGTGAGATGCTTCTCCCAACAGAATTGAGAAGAGTGTGTAAAGTTATCTCTGAGAAAAATGTGTTTTAAGGGAACAAGTAATACTCAGTTGTTTGTCAGACATGAAGAACAGTGAAAGAAAGAGACCATAGTCCATGTCACTTACTGCATGGCAATTCTGGTATGGGCCATTTGTGGTGGTCTGAAACTCTTGCATATACTGCCCTGAAGCTGTGCAGGATGCTGCCTGGTGAGAGGCCAAGCCCTTGCCTGACTTGGGAAGTACACTAATTCTCTCAGGCCACAGGACCAGATTTTGCATTAAGAAAAAACAACACTATTATTTACAGTTCAGGTCATTTGAAAGAGAATTGACTTCTCCTTTCACTCCACTAGCCCTGATCCACATTGGTTCAACCAAGTCTATTGGTGATACTTTCACTTTTATTAATGAAAAACTCACCTTCAGTAGAGAGACAGAGAGAGAAATGGAGTGGATTTCTGCTGCACCAATATTTCCGAAAGTCGTGTGCTTAGAAAGTTAGCATAAATCACTAACCATGTTGTTGTTGTTCAGCTGTTTTTCAGTCCTACTCTTCATGACCCCACTTGGGGTTTTCTTGGCAAAGATGCTGGAGTGGTTTGTCATTTCCTTCTCCAGCTGACCATTTTACTCTCATGTGAAATAAATAAATAAACTCCCATGGCTTCCTATTCTAGGGTAAAATATAAACTTCTCTGACATGTAAAGCCCTTCACAACCTGGTTTCAATTTACTTTCTGTATCCTTTTAATACACTTCTCCCCTTCATCCATTCTATGTTCCAATCAGACTGGACTTCTTATTCCCCACACACGAACTTCCATTTCCTGGTTCCCCATGTTTTCAGTGTGCTCTATTCTTAAGAATACCTAGTTTCTTAAAAAAAAAAAAGACTCAGCTTATTTGTCAAATCCTACATTAGGCCTTTCCTAAACTCTTTGCTCAGTCATCTCTCCCCCCCAATTTCTTTGTATTTATTTAATTATATCTTATAAATATACAGATATGTTTTGTTTATACTTACATTCACAGGTTGTCTTCCCCTAAGAATATAAGCACCTTGAGGGCAGGGCTTATTTCATTTTTGTTTTTGTATCCCTAGCACCTGGTACAATACCTAGTGCGTGGTAGCTGTTTATTAGTTGATAAGCATAATCTTATCATCTGGGCAGCTAGGTGGCATGATAGATAGAGGTTGCAAGGCCTGGAGTCAGGAAGACCTGAATTCAAATCTGACCTCAGACACTTACTAGCTGTGTGACTCTGGGCAAGTCACTTAACCGTTTGCCTCAGTTTCCTCATGTGTAAAATGAGCTGGGAAAGGAAATAGCAAACCATTCCAGTATCTTTCCCAAGAAAATCCAAAATGGGGTTGCAAAGAGTCAGATACAACTGTTAACGACTGAAAAACAAAAGCATAATCTAGATCATTATATTATTACATAACATGATATCCTGTTGAAACAAGTACTTCTTTTGGGAATGGCAAAAGTTCTACTCATAATAGCAAAAAAATTATAGTAAAATGTTTTAGCTATTATCATTTTTGTTTGTATTTTGCAGTTTAGTTTTGTTCGTCAGTTAGGATGCTTTCAGCAGTTTACAAATTTGTTTTTACAAATGGAAATGTTATAAATGGAAATTTTGATTATTTTGTTCAATTAAATCTTGGTTATTCAAATGACAAATTCTAAACGTTTAACATGAGGTAAGAGAAAATACTTTTTCTCATCTATCTTTGCTTGGAATTTCTTACACATTCCTCCATGTTCTCCATAGATAAACTAGATTAGATTGTACACTTTATTTCTGAAACACAGCACTTGGCATAGGGTAGTTCCATGACTACCAAGATATTACAATTTGAAATTTATTGCCATCTTGGAAAAAAAGCAAATACATGAACTAGTTCTTGTCACTGACGTCTAACTTTCTCATAGTCTGGGTAAGGAGTTCCATTCAAAATTCACAGGGATTCTACAAATGGAGGAAACGACACTTTCGTGGTTTAGACTGGAACTAAGCCAAGAAAGTTATTTGATTGTAAACCTGCCAAAGCACTTGAACATTAACCCACCCACCCACCCAACCCGAGTAAAGCTGCTATGTAAATCTAATAAATGAATTAATCAGATGGAGGCATCTGATATTATTTATTGCCATGTGCATCTCCTAAATGTACTCTTTATACTAAATCCTTCCATTTCTTTTGTACCCTCTTCATGAAGCTTGATGAGTTCTGCCTTTTTTTTTTTTGGCAGACTCATCTAGACACATGCTTCTCTCCGATCTTAAAATCAATGTGGTTTCGAGAAGGCCTCAGATGTCATGGTTTCATTCTCTTCTGCATTATAGAAAATGATTCTTTGGGGATTAAGTAAAAATTGCCTTCCCCTGGGACTCATGCTGGATTCATCTAGTTCCATCGTCATGTATAATGTATCAGCTCTCTAAATGACCCTGTTAAGATTGCAAGTGGCCTTAACTTGTGGCTCGAAAAGAATATATTGGTCCATTATGAGTTTGTACAGGTTAGGCATATGGGGAAGGGGGTGGTAAGGAAGAATGACAGCGTTGTCAGCATGAGTCTTTGCTAAGCTGCGTTAGCATCTGTGAGTAGAAAGGCAACTCGTACAGGCTTACTTTTGAAATCATCGTTACTTCTTTTCTTGTTTAAATACAACCATACTGTGATTCTTTTTCACCAACAGTGCATTGAAAGGGTTAACTCATTTGTTCGGTATATGTGCATAGAATTCAGATTTTAGAAAGAAAATTGCTAATTTTTTGGCCATGGCCCCAAATCACTGTTCCAATAGATTTGCTCTGCAAAGTCCCCTGGATGGTCATTTTTCCGCTCAAGCCAGAGTGAACTATTATAATAATTATGAAGGACCAGGCATTTCCGATATTTCCTTTTTTCTCCATCAAAAAAAGTGCCTGGTATAGAGCAAATTGTTCAATTGGTAGTACTAAAAATCAGAACTGTTTTTTTTAAAAAATACATCTATATTTTAAATGTGTATATTTGGAAAATTCTGAAATATAGAATGTGTGTATTGAGATATGTATGTGAAATTCTGCAACACGTATAGATAGTCCTGTTTTTACATTCATTCATGGTCAAACAAGTTTTTTGGGATGAAGTGGTTTGTGTATTATCAGTTCTCCATTATTCAAGATACAGTATACACTTTATCACTCAATCAATAAACCAGCAAGCATTTATTAACTGCCTATTACGTGCCAGGCATTGGTCTATGTACTGAGTATATGGAGACAAAAATGAAACAGTGCAGGAACATTTTATCTAGGAAGACAGCATGTTTATAAACATAAGATCAGATACAAAGAAATGCAAAATAATTGAAGAGGGGGAGGGACAGGAAGCCTCACTAGTGGTTGGGGGGAAATCAAGAAAGGCCTGCAGGAAGTGGTGTATGATCTCAGCCTTGAAGGAA